GAATGCTCGAAAATATTTTTTCGACCTCGAACCACGCTCGGATACACCGAACTCCCGAGCGGCGCCTAAAAATCGTCCATCCTGAAACATTCAACGTCAGACCGAACGAGATCTCGGTTCTCCGAGCTGTAGCTCGATTCGATTACCCAGAAACAGATCGGCATTGCGAACTGAGAGGTCGTTTCACGCCGAATTCCAGGCAATCCGCGGCAATGCATCGCGAAACATTCGGTTTCTTAACCGAACGATATCGACAGATGGAGACGCGTGTCAAATGCAAAATGGTCGGACGAGACGTTCGGTTATTCATGTTTAACACTACAGCCGGTTAATTGACAGCCTAATTATAGATCGAGGAAAGAGTAATACGATTAGGTGACGAATACGCGAGACAGTCGAGGAATAATTGGATAGGGTAAGACAGGAAGCGAAATAGAGTTTCCACCTTTCTAACTACCTCTAGACCAGGTCACGAAGAAGAAGAGCCTGCCGGTGACTAACGTTTGAATCGAGAAGATATCGAGTGTCCCTGGGATACGATACTCGGGAAAACCAGTGCACTCGATCGACCAGACGCTTCATCAATGAACTATCCATGTTTTCTGAGACCGAATGTCGCCTGATTGCTCGCGCGCGGCCTCCGATAAGATAAGACCTCGCGAGCAAGCGTCGATCTTCGATTCGGGGGCACGAGAATACGATCGTTGCTTAGAATTCGTCGGTGAGGACGTTGGAACGCATTAATCTTGGGGTTAGGTATCAATGGATAATCGTGGAACGAGGAAAATGCGGTTCGCCGTTGGCTAGAAATACCGGGGCGCGATCGATTAGATAAGAAGAGGAGAGGATCGCGGTTCTATTTCGATGTATCTTTACTCGGAGTAATCGGGGAAACGGATCGATGGAGTAGGATCACGAGGGAACAGGGCCTCGATAAACGCGAGTAAGTATCATCAATGAACCGAGAACGAGAGAAAAACGTCGATGGGCACGTAACGTCCGCCATTCATCGTTCCCGTTCGCTATTTATACGCCACTCCTATTTATCAGCAATGAATGACAGAAGACACGCGCGATTAAAAACTTTTCCGCTAGATCGACCTGCTTGCCGCGGCTTCTGCGACGTAAATAACGGGCATGGATTTTATTACCCCTCGTTAAAAGCCGAAAGGTTAACCTCGTATATTTAGAAGCTCGTGAACCTCTCTCCCTAGGATCGATTGTAAGGAAATCTAACTGCCGGGATGAATACTCTTTCTTGGTGCTTTCATTGCGTCCGCGATAATTAACAGTTTAATTGGAAAGCAGAATACCGGTGTAACGAGAAATGAGAGAATGTTCGATCATAGATCGATAGAGATACAGTGCAAATTGAAAATTTTATCGAGATTTATACTCATTTGCCTGTTTTCAAATTTCTTTTCCATTTCTTCCTCCTTTTCCCGCCTCTTCGCGAGAAATCGAAATCGAAATCGAAATCGAAATCGCATAAAAATTACAAATGCGTTATATTTTTATCGGCGATCGATATTTTAACGTTTCGGATCTGTATAGAGCGATGGAAACGAGAAAATAAAAGAGAAGAATCGTGAGAGGTTAGGTTTGATCGGAACGCGAACCGGGGGATCGTTTTTCGACGAGTTCCGCGGAGGACTTCCGGCAGAGAAACGGCCAAGTGGCCAGTTCCTGCGCTGACAACAGCTGTCCTGCTTTCCTCTTATTAAATATTCATCGACAGATGGCCCCAAAGAGGTACGAAACTCTGAATATCGGCGAAATTCGGCGGGCAAGGATTACGTGACGCAATTTGTGAACGTTCGCGGAGGAAACAGGATGATTGTAGGCTGTGTCGAGTGTACATCATTCAGGGGTATCGTTTGAACATCCTCTTCGAAATCTACTGCGACAAAGTCAGAGAGAATATCGTCTCGGCATAACCCCTGTCGGAAAGCCTAGAAAACCAACTACTTGCTACTTCGATCGACCTATCAAGACGGCTATTGTCAGGAGAAAACAGGTATAATCAGTATGCAGCGGGAAGCTAGGAAAGGAAGCGGATGCACCACGCCCAAATCGTTTAATCCTGAATCGATGGCGAGCGAACGGGAACGATTGCGATCGCTAATTGTTCTAGACAGGCCCTTATCATCAATCTGATTCAAATTCTCCTAGATTGCCTCCTCGCTTCCGCCGCCATATCTCATTCGGAATTATTAAAGATAGTACAGAACCAACGCGCGATACGAGGTCGTCGATTAAAGCGTTTCCGCTGCAGAAAGGACCCACCTTTCATCGAGGGAACGTGCCCCACGCGTTTCCAAAATAATCCTTCATAGAAACAAGAACTCTCTCGGGAAGGCGTCTGAAGCCACGAGAAAAATTCCGCGGAAAAATTTCGTACCGCGTTTAAACTCTCTCTCTCTCTATTCGGCCAAACTGAGTCACGCTTCTAAAAATCATTGCAAAAATGAAACCTCGGCCTCCGACCGGTGTGTGTTCCACGTAGTTGTTCGTACCACAGTGGGCTCTGCCGACGCACGCATTGCCACGAGATGTTAGATCGTATAACGACGTTATTCTCCTCCGTCAACCCTCGGACTCGTTAATGAAAAGAAGCAAAGGCAGCAGAGACAGGGGCAGAGAGAGGCGAAGAGAGGACGAGGATGCACCGGGCGCTAGAGAGCGTGTGACGTAGGTGAGGCAACGGTGCATGCGACTAGAACGAACGGCGCATGCAGAAGGTCTGGCTACATGATGCGAGAAGGGATGCTATTTCTGGCGACTTAGATTTCTCCTTTCTCCTCCCCCGAGCACCGGCTGCCGTGCACGCGTTTCTTCCCGCTTGTCCCTACATCCCGTTCCTCTTAACTAACTCACCGACTTTCCGTCTCTTCCACGTCCCTTTCGCTTTCGAAGGATTACTCCTTCCTGCCGCTACCGTTGCTCCTTCCCCTCGAGCTAACTCGTTTGTCGATCCTATGGGATGATGATTTCTTTCGGTGAATAGCGCTGCGAAGACGGAGCAGTCTTTGATTAATCTATTGCAGTTGATGGGACTTATAGGAGAGGTTAGGATAACGCAACGTTGGCCGTCCACGGTCTAGGTCTCGCGAAGCTTATGGTCGTGAGGCAATCTCGCGCCGAAATGTAAGCCGAGTGTCTATCAACCGCCATGTTTGGTCTTATCGAGAACCCGTGTCGGTTGCTGAAACTGCGGGCAAAAGTGCGTAAACTGGTAGCCAAGTCGACCTGATCCGAGCGGTCGGAACAGATGGGGGCCAGCAGACGCCGAAGAAGGAGAAACGAAAGGAAGAAACGGAGAGAAGACGCCTTTTTTTGGTGCACCCAGCCGACAGAGCTGACGATCGGGGAGCGAAGGTGAGAAAAGAGGAGGAATCGTGCATGCGATTCGATTAACCAGCGAGCTTGAAATGCGACGTGAAACTGCCCGGGGTTCCATTACACGATCACATGTCCGCTTAATTCGAAACTTGTATAACCTCGTTACACGGAGCGATCATTTACATAGTTTCCCGGCTAAGCTATCAATTAAACATCACGCCTTACATAAGCACACGCTATCCAAGATTTCGTGTCTACTCCGACAGAGGAACCCGATGGAATATAAAGCGAGGGGAAATAGTAGGAGGAAGAACGAGGAGGGGTTATAGAAGTGAGGAAGGGAGAGATGGAGAGGCGAGAACAAAGAGAGACCGATGTTCAGGGCGCAACCAAGTGAAACGAAGAGAAAGAGCAGGAGAGAGAGAGAGGATTAGGAGAGAAAGAGAACGTGTTAGAAGCGTTAGACGGTAACCACGTGAGGTCAGGGAGGGATAGAAGAGCAAGAGGGGATGAGAAACGAACGCTGGCTCTACGTTCATTCATGAAACGAAGGCGGAGAGCAGCTCCGGAACGAATTGTTACTGGCACTCGTACAATCGCAAGCTCTGCCAACGCAGTTGCCAACGTCAACTATCACTGCGAAAATAGAGCAGGATTGGCCTATTTCGACCTGCCCTCCTCGCTCTCCTGTCTCATTCTCTATCCGGTTAATAAAAACGATCGCGTTTCGTGCACGCTAACGCCCCTAACGAGCCATCAGGGTTAATTAATAATTTGCAAAATGACACGGTACGCTTGCTAGATGTTCCAGGCTTTTCGCTGTTCCCCGGTGACTTCGGTAACGTCGTCTTTTCAGGTGAAATATCTCAAGCTTGCGAAAGAGTCGTTGCGTTCGAGATTAGATCGCTCCTTAAACAAAATGGACGTGCGTTAGATTAGCGTGGCTAAGTAAGAACGAGATAGTAATTCTGCTTCGCGTGAACAATCGTAGAAAAAAAATTCGTCTATCGCACGAAACGATTCCTGGAACGTCGGGATCAGGAATAGCTAGCCTCTTTTAGCTGCGTGTAAACAGCTCGCTCCTTTCTTTTCATCAGACTGGTCACGATTACGGCGGAACGTTAGATATAAGAGAAAAGATTGCAGAAACTTCTTACATTCCATTTATCTCTGGCATTCTTCTCTTCTTTTAGCGCAAACTCTCGATTTCGTGGTGGAACTAAAACGAAAGGAAAACGAAAGGAAAACGATCGCGGGATCGAAGTGTCGATGACAATTACACAATAGAGAAGGCTGGCAGCGCGAGCCGGCGACATCAAAGACAAGCCCGAAAATAACGCCGCGGCGCAATCACGCGGGTGCAGAAACATTTTTCGTCGAGATCGAACCTGTTACATTTCGAAATTGCGCGCCGCTTCAGAATTAGACCCGGGTGTAATTGAGTGTCACCTGTGGATCGTGTGCGGTTAAATTTAGGGCCGATCGTCTTCCTTCCGTCTTTGCCTCGCTCGAGTGAACGATCAAAGAGTATCACTGACCTTGATGGATCTGTGATCGATCGGGTAACCTTTCCTGGTACCAGGACTCTCCTCGTAGAAATCCTGTTCCTCCTCCCCGTAGTCGTACAGGGATTCCATATCCATTTCGGCTGGAAAAAAATGTTATTTCAGCGAAAACGAACAATGAACATCGTGCAATAAAAAGATATCGCGAAATCAACGTACTTCAACTCCTTGCCTTCTGACGATTAATTAAATCGCGTAACGAGAATCGCGATCGAGATAAGAGCGATCGTGCGGTAAAAAGCGAGCGACATTGTTAACAAAGATCGACTTACAAATTTAACTTTGCTTCTGCTTCCAGTGAACGGAATGAACGAAACGGCCGGTAAGGCAAGAGGTTAAAGACTTTTATAGTTACGCCATTCATAAATTGATTACTATACGACGTATAGCGTAGGAATAAATTTGCTCGTTCCTCCGCGGAGGAAGGATGATTGCTCGGCGTGCAAAGGGCGTTTTGTTCGGATCACCGCGTATAAATTCGATATTTAGGCAGTGGCTGCACGTGAAAAGCATAAGTCGCGCTTTGGGCGCTTAATAGCGGTCGCAACTCGCTTTAAAAACAGACGTTCCTCGTGCAACGAACGCTCGCACGCGCCTCTTGAACGCGCGGCCTGGAGATGCTAAATCACCGTTCCTTTTTATTTGCAACCTGCACAGTAAATTCTCTTCCACATGACGTACCTACTCTTCCAACCGACTCTTCCTTTTCACGCTCGCCTCCGTTGCTCTAAAACGCGAGAATCGTCGTGCCTGTTGCTTGTTCAAACGAATACCACTCGCGCCTCTCCTCCATTCTCAGGCTTTTTATCTTCCTAAGAGAATCATCGCAATTACTCTCCGTGATTTCCTTTGTTTCGCATCGATACCGGGGAATGGCGAGTCAGCTTGAAGAGCAGAGCAGGAGGATAGAACAGGATGAGGGGGATAGAAACCACGAGGATAAAGAAGTTTAGCAAGATCCAAGTGAGAAGTGCAATTTTTAAAAAGGTTCACGCGCGTAAGGGGATGCGAGGAACTGCAGGCACTAGCGTGTATATACGTAGGAGGTTTTCGAACCCTGGTTTCTACAAAGATCAGGTTACTCCGGCTGGAAGCCCAAACGACAGATGGTAGGTGGAAAAGTGCTCGAGTACCGCCATCGACTCTCACGGCTCTTTGTACACGGACGAAATACTCCTGCTACACGAGCTACAAAGCGCCTCGAAATTCCGCTTTTTTTTAACCCACTCGCTGATACAAGGTGCCAATAACTTCTCAATAAGGAGTACGTCTTCTCGTTGCGCAAGTACAGAGTTCCCTCGAAAAGAACTAGCGATCCTATCGTGAGAATTCGTCTCGCAGCTGATAATTTCTTTCTTTAACTTTTTAATGGATATCTGTCTTAGGCGAGATTTAATTAAACAAAGTATCGAGCAGAGAAAGTGGTCGTAATAATATTTGCGATAATATTGCGAAGGCTCGGCCTGAAATAATCTCAAGGATTCTCTCCGAGACGGTCAACAAAGTCCTCTCCCCCTCAACGGGGTTTTTAATTATGGCATTAACAATGCTAACAAATCTCATTCAACGATCCAGCTGATACTAATTCTTATCTCGTAGATATTATCGATTCAACTTGACGAAAGGTATGATTTTTCAAATTCGTTTATCTAACGGAGCAACTATAGAAAGAAAAATATATCGGTGAGGAATAATGAAGCGATCTAATTCAAGCAAACGTACAGGAAAATCATTCTGATAAAAACTGCAAAACGTATCTTCAGGTCGATTGATATCGTTGTAACCACCTGAAAGACAAACAGGTGACATGATCGATTAGCCGATTGTTACAGGAAAAATCACTCTGTGAATGTACAACGAAGGTTATGCATTGAGGAAGAAATTTCGACAGGGATGTATAATTTTCTTCTGTGCATTAAATTTACGACCAAGATTCTTCCACGATTTGGTGCAAAATATATCAAGTGAAATCCAATTTCTCAGAAATCAAAATTAAATTACAACGTTTACTTATCTCTCAACCTTTCAACAACTGATAAGATTCTGTTTGATGATAGGTATTATTGAAAAGGAAAAATAATCAAAAAAATGCTCCAAATTGAACGTATTTATGAAAAAAGAAAAAAGATTAACTTATTATCTGTAATCCAGATCACGTACATAACCTAATTAAGTTTCAATACCTATATTTTTGAACGCGTTCAGATTACAGGACCTTCGAAAAAGTACAACAAAATAGAACGTCGAATCTAAAGGCTCTACGGTACCCTAATTACGATGATCCTGACCATATTTCATACTCGTTCCCTCTATTACATATACCTGAACATCATCGCTGGGACCCTGGAAGGGAACGCGATCGGTTTCGGCCTTTAAAGTGTCCGGCCGACTTCCGCGCAAACACGGGGATGCCATTTCCACTCGGATGCGTCTACCTGCCTTTCCGAATGTCGAAAGCGAAAGAAAAGATCGCTCGATACGGAGGGGTAAAGTCGTAACACCGCTGGTTTATTTTACTCCGCGAGCTGCTGACCGGCATACCGAAAGATGTTCGCCATTAGACGAGGTACAAGCTCAACCTCGGAGTATCATTTCAAATTTCCTAGCCACTAACTAAAACAAAGGAGAAGAGAGACTATCGCACACTGATGTTTCATGCATACACGTAGCATTAAAGTTACCCAGTTAGAACTATCTCGGGAACTCTTGAATTTTCCTGTCCATGAAATGAAACCGAAGCAGGAGAGGCGAGATAGAAAAATACCAGTGTTTATATTTTTCAATTTTTCTTCGAAACTTCATTCTTCGTTTAAAACGTTATTTAAATTAATCCGTGGTCCTATAATTTTGCTCCGCATACGAATGGTTCTGTACTTCTAACTCGATTACCTTGATAAAAAAAATGTATAACCTATTAATCACTGAAACGATAACAAAATGGCGGAAAAAAGACGGCATAAAATTCTTACGTGCATCTGAGATCGAATAATATGGTTGCGGGATTACCACGATTTTCGTTTCGTTTTTCTGAGACACCGTGTACAAACTGGCCTGTCCTTCGAGAAGTTGAAGTGTCTATTGTTTCAACTCCGGCGAGAGAGCAATATAATATCTTTCGAGGAGCTGCCGCTGGGTTTCCAGATGCGGGCAGACGTTCCTACAGGTCACGGGATGCATGGACCCGTATGCGAGTTTCAGCACCCACGATGAACCCATATGGGGAAAAATCTCATTACTCGCTTGACTTTCGAACTTATTCAAACCGACGCAATGCCCGTTATCCATCCACAATTCCGAAATTCGTTTCACCAACTCAACCCGACTCGCGAACTACCGGTAAACTACAAGTTTGAACGACGCATATAAAGCGAACGACTTCATTCGATAATCGAAAGCGCGGCAACTATCGAACGATTGTCACTTCGAGATCGTATCGTCCGGATATCAGGCAACTCGCTAAAAGTATATTTCACGAACGATGAACGATGTATAGGCTAGATCTATAGACCATGTTTCTTAAAAAAGGAACGAAGATGTATCACGAATTAGGAATTCTTCTTTTGTATACCTTTTTCAATAGGAAATATATTTGGCAAACCAGGAATTGTCTCGTCTCTAAACCGATCAACGGTTTTTTTTCCCTCTCTTTCTCGCGCGCATGCTCCCTCGTTTTATCTCTCACTATCTTCCCGTCTCTTTCTAACCCCCGTGCAATGTCAGAACGTTCGCGCAGCTTTGTCACCGTGGTGTCTTCTGGCCTTTGATATTTGTCGCGTCTTTGGTAGAGAGAAGAAACAGTCGAGAGACAAACGAGGGAAGAAGCATGGTAGGTCGCGGTGTTGCCATGCTGTACTCCCCGAGATCCGAGAAAGTGTACAAAAACCATTCGACCCACCAACACCGAGGGCATCGCGTTCCTTTTTTAAATTGCCAGGCTAGCCATCCCTCGTATGCGTTTAACTTACACTGTCCAACGCACTATTTCTCTCGCTCACGCTTCCTATCTCTCTCCCACTTCCCTCTCACTCTTTTTCTCCCGTCTCTGTGTGTATACCAAATACTGTTCGACGGAAATATTACCTACACGCGTTACCAGCGAAATATGTTACGCAGACACCACATAAAAAATTAATCCAGACCCGACAGAAACTGTTTGTCAGGGTCTAAAATGTGGGGATAAAAATTCGATGAATTTGTAAATAGGATCTAACGTCGTTACTAGACAGAGGTCACTGTTTTTCGTTAAAGTTGATACGTTTCACGATTAGGTTGGCAATGATGATCTATTAAACTATTTTATAAGCAACTAATTTCAAGAAATAAAAAACCTATGAGACCTCTCATGTCTACGCGAAGTCTATGCCGGTTTTCGATTTCTATTACAAACATGTGAAATCGCGAAAGGTTATAATGGAATCCCATAAACTACGTGTTACAAGTTATGTTCATATACCTGTCATAAATCCTGTATCGATACAATACGTTTCATCGTATCTCGTAATGTGTCGTCGTTATAAATTTATCTGTCGATTTCTAATTAAGCGAAAAATAATATTCGCCGTATAGTCGCGTAAAAGTGACGAGCATTAAAAAAAAAAAATTCCGCAAACGAACCGTATATACGTTCGATATTGGTCGAAATGATAAAAGCGAAATTGCACGTGACGCAAGATACGATACGATTATCAGGTACAAGATATTTACGATCGATACGAATCAATGTGGGAGAACTAATCTTCGAAATGTTCTTGTAAATATCGAGTGTCGAATTTCATTGGGAACGAACCTTGTTTGAAACACACCAATTACACACGTTCGAGTTTCGATTAAGCACAACGGAATCGTTATCTCTATTGCGCAATCAACTTTTCTACGAATAAATATATTGCAAGTGAAATAAAGATATGAATAATAAACGATATGACGTAAGGTTCGTAATCGGATCTTCTAAATCACAACACTTAGATTTACACGAGATAATACAATTGTCTACAAATACGTATAGGTAAAGGGCGACGGTATGAGAAAGTTTGTATTGTTATACAGGGGCCACCGCAAGTACAAAGAAAGATGTAAACGCAAAGTCATAGAGGGCAAAACTCCGGTTCACTTGCCTCGAACGCGGCTCTAGCCGGTGTAAATAAACCCTCTGAAACTTGATTCCCATTTGTGACATGCTTTTACGTGTATCTTAGATTATAATATTCATTTTCCGATTGTCCGTGGGATGCAAAGTAACCAAGAGAACACTCCGTCAAAACAAATATAGGCCTGACCGAACGTAGGCGTATACTTTTCTCGTGACGCTACGTTCTACCCTTTCGTAATAACTCACAATTTCTTCGTGTCGTTTTTCAAACATTGTATTCGTGTTGACAAAGCTTGAAACGGTCTAAGCTAGTTCGTTCGAAAGTTTCGAAGATTCACGTTCGCGCGCTCGTATCACGCAGAAAGCGCGCAGGTGAACTGGTTTTAACGTGCTCACTTACCTGTTTTCCAATGTAAAATCCAATGAAGAGCGCAACTGTATCAATTGTCCAGATAATGTACACGAAAAACACCAAAAGAGAACCGAACACAAAACAAGAATCACGTGTACGACTGTGAGGCGCACGCACATCGGCAGCACTAACGCGGTATACCCGTACACAATACAGATTACAAATGTATTATGGCTACGACCCAGGCGTTCATGAATGAAACTAAGTGCGGGCTCCACCTCCCCACCCCGCGGCTTAATGTCTTTGACCAATCGCTGGTGGGCGTATGCATTCTCTTCTCTGATTCGTTGTCATGTTCTGCTTTTTCCGTTAGAACGATGCTACAGTCGGGGTATACGAATAAACAGATGGTAAACAAGAATCTAAATTTTCAATTACCATGTTTTTGAATTATATGATAAAATATTATATAAATTGTTTAAAATTCTTATTTCCAATATGAAAATGAGGTTAGCTATTATAGAGTCATCGAACTTTGATGGTATTACTATAAAAGAAATACTTTAATTAAAAATATGCATGAATAAATATATTAATTTTTGAAATAAATGTATTTTTTAATAAATTATAATGTTTGATTTATTTACATTATGATTTTGACCAATCAAATAACTAGTATTAAAACGATATTTTTATTAGTGGGAAGATTATCGCAAGTAAGTGTACACTCTATGAATTAATATATATTCTAAGGTATCGAATAACGACGAGTGTTTCTTAGGTGTTGTCTAACTGAAAAAGTAAGGATGTATTATTTTAAACCATATTACAATTTTCAAGAGTATTATTTACATTCATGTTGTATTTTGATGTGCTCCTATAGTTTATTTTTTATTTTTATATATTATGTAATGAACATAATTTGTATTACGTAAGAAAAATCTTGTATAACTTTTCGTTTATTTAAACATGTGAATGTACAATTTTATATAAATCGTTATTTTAAGAAATTTTTGAACTTTGTTTTTATTATATGTTATTTTTATTATATTTTATGCTAACATATTTTTCATTCAATTTTTCTATTTAGATACGTATTTTATACTCGACTTGACAAGGAAAAATGCTTCTCCAACGAGTGACTGCAAATGCACCAAAAGTTATTAAACGTAACATTGGTATTCTTGCACCAGCATTTCAAGAAGCAAAGGATCCCATCCAACAACTATTCATAGATAAAATTCGTGAATATAAAGCAAAAAGCTCGTAAGTAATAATGAAATATTTTGATACAGCAAATATTACTAATATTAATTTATAAATTTAGCGGTGGAAAAATACCTGATGCTGGTCCTGAAATTGAAAAAGAGAGGAAGGCAGAATTTGACAGAATTGCGAAACAGTATAATATAGTAGGTGATCCAAAAGAATTCCCTAAATTCAAGTTTGAAGGTATGTTTAGTTTTTAAATGGCATTACTTAAATTGATAAATATTTTAAAACACATAGACACTTTAATTGCAGATCCACAAGTGGAAAAATGAATGCATTATGTCCCTACAAATATTCATAAAATCAGAATATTTATATTAGAATTGTTACTGTTCATACCAAGTAAATAAACAAATATATATATATATATAAAGTTAAAAACATAAACATATTAAACTTTATTTTCCTTATTGCTAATAATACAGGTATTTAAATTAAAGATAATCACAGAAAAAAATATAAAAATAGCATGTTCATCTCTATTTTAATGTTCCTTTCTATTGTATATGTATATATATTTCAATGAAATTATTTTGAATCTGTAAGAAGTTTTGTATTCTGAACTATTTCCATTAATGTTTTCATGTTGCATTTTCTAGCAACAGATTTACAGATCTTCATAATTTTTATTATTTCATCTTTAGACATCAGAGTTTTAAAGTTACCAGAACAAGAACAAAGTTCATTCATATTTTCCCTCTTAATTTTTTTACATTTACAACATTGCAAATCTTGTAATATATAGCCCATACTTTTACGATTTAACACATCTATTAAAAAGAACTCTATTTCTTCATTATCATAAGTCGTTTTGCACAGAGGACATTTCCATATATACCTACAAAACCAATACTCATGTATTACCATATATATATTTTTATGATATTACATACCTGTTCTCTTCCATAACACAAAAATTGTCTTTACAAAGATCGATATCCCTTGTGTGATTACAAGCTTTGCAAATGATTTCAGGTAAAATTAAAGATATACATGGATCTTTCCATTCAACTAGATCACTAAACGAACCGATTTTAATTAATCTTAACATGTTTGTTTGTAAATGGTACACTTCACTTTCAACTTCTTTATCCAAAGATAAAACCTGCAGTTAAAATTAGGTTCTATTTTCAATTAATTCACAAAATAGTGTAAATATAACATACCTATACTTATGTTTAAATACCTTACAAACTGCTTTAATTAGTTCTAATGCAGGATTAATTTTCTTACTATCTTTACCATCTAAATCCAAATTTGGATATTCTTCAATTGTTAATGTTTTTTCTGGGACTTTTTTATGTATCTTTTGCACAATTCTACAATATAATTGAATAAAATGTATAGAATGGGGATCAAAGTCTTTATGCAATATAAAGTGAAGAAACAATATTTACTGGAACAGTTTCTGAGACATATCTCCTGAGATAAGCTTTTTAGCAAAATCTGCGGTATTCTCGAGGGATCCTAATCCAAGTTGTGCAGATAAACTTTGACTATTCGATCGTCTTTTAGGTTTTATAGTAGTATTCAGTTCATTTTCACACATAAACTGATAAATAGCATTAATATATCCCGCTATTATAGCGGTAAAACTCGACCGACAAGCAGCTTCTTGAGGAAGACATTCCATTAAATTCCAATTCATTGTTATTTCAGGCTTAACAAAAATAAACATTTAATGAAAACATCGAAAATAAAAAAAAAAGTTCTGTAAGTACTTACTGTATTCTCATCTTCGTCTTCTTCCTCAACGTTTTCATCACCAACAGTTTTATTTTCAGCATCCTCTTGCATTTCTTTCGGTAATTTTCCTCTTACACCGGAAAAATTATGCTGTCGATTTGTATCAGATTTTTCGTCTGATGAACTACATTATTTGTTATTATAATATAAGGAAAAAAATTTGACTTACCATGTCGAGCCATATTAAATATTCCCAACACTGTTCAAAAGTTATTTCAATACTATGAAAGATTTCTTTATTGCGTATTGTTTGAACAACAAATTCCATATAGCCTAATGCATCAGACACTGTTCTTTTTTTAGTACATACAATGATTTTATTAAAATTTGCAAGAACTATTATAGATCCCAAGGTTTTAAATTCTGCTAATAATTGTATAAATAATTTTTTCATATAGGTGTGTAAAGTTCTTCTTAAAGCAGGATCGTAAAGTAAAGCATTACTTGAACGTAACCATCTAAAAAACATAAATTTACGGGTTAAATATATGTAGAACATAAGGAATAAATGTCTATACTTACCTGTAAAAATGAATGATTTGATAGTCTGCAAATATATTTTTATAAATTGATACATCTAGTAGCCATGCATTGACCATACTTCGCAATGATTTAAAAGCAGAACTGCAAAGGGCAGTTTCGTCGTAACTGGGAATCATATTTGTCATAGAATCACCTACTGCCATATCCTACAGAGAATTTGACTTATATGTATATATGTTTTTATATATCTTTTCAATATACTTTTTCAAAAACTTTACATACATGTACAGATGTTTGTTGCTGATTATGAAATGCAACAAAATTACTAGTACCATCGATATCGTGAATATGGTGATACTGTAATAATGTATTTACTGCTAAATTATCTACCTCTAATTCAATACAGACACTAGAATAAGTTCCAGGATTATTTGCAGCGCAATGTGAACTTTCTTCAAAATCCGTCAATAATCTGCAATTAAATTCGTTAACATCGTAATAATAAATCGAGTTTCATATTAAATTTCATAACAAAATATAAGTGCAACCTGTTATCATCATTTTCACTACCACCTAAGTCAGGTTTCTCTGTTGGAGAACACCATAAGACAAAGTTATTTTTTTGCAAATGCCTAGCGTAAAATAAGTCTGCTCCAAACATAATAGGATCTGCAGGGATATTTCCAATTGGAGCATGAAAGAATCTACATTGCTCTGACATTAATTCAAAAATCTGTTGGCTCTTAAAATAATGACGTATCATTATTTTTGCACCAACTTTCTGCCATTCCAATGTGTTATATAAATTTTCAATATCTTGTACATGTGTATTAATAAGAGGAAAGTCATTAAGTAATGGCATCTGACTTACTAATGCTGCTTTATCTAATAAAATGAAAATAATGTAAATGAAATCAATAAAAAAAAAGTTAGTAATAAAATTTTTTTTAGTAAAGTTTGCCAACTTATAAAATATTCCAAGAATTTAGAAATATAGATAAAGAATTAAATAAATAATCAAAAACATATATAAGTAATATAAAAACTAAAGGAACCATTTAAAAATATAAATGATCACAATCAAAAATGTAAATAAAAAATGTTTAGAAATACTTGAGAAATTCTATATGTAAATTTAATTAAAATTTACCCAAAGCTGTTTGAAAAATAATTATTGTTGCACCATGTCCTTCATTTTTATATGCAGTTATAGCTGCTTGTAATATACGGCAAACTTGTTGAAAATTTGTTTCGAATCTTAATTCGAAGTACATCGATTTTGGTAAAAATTTTACTTTTTCCGAACCATTCATAGACTCACTGTAAAAGAATTACTTTATTTTTTTTATTGTATTATCATATAAGTATTACACAGAATTTGTAAATCTTACACTATATTCCGTTCTTGGGTATACAATGTATTCATATTAGGCATTTGATTTGATGAAACTGAATCCAAAACGAATATGTGAGCTCTCTTACTAGTATTTAGAAATAGTCCCCATAAAGCTCTTTGATGGTTGGAACTCCAATGATGATACAAGAAGATATAATTGATTTCATGAAGCTAAAACAAAATAGATATATTTCTAGTTTATAGAAAGGGTATATGCTAAAAAAGCTATTACATTTTTCAGATATGGTTGCACAGCAATACTCTTAAACTCTAACTGATCTAAGGTGAACGTGTCTGCACCATCTGTCATAGTGCGTGCTGCTTTGGGATCAACTATACAAATGCAACCTAATTGAAGGATAGCTCTGAACTCCAATGACATTTGAGTTTCATAAATTCCTTCAATTTCTGGTTTACTCAAATCCTCTAAAAGTTCTCTACAAACGAATTAAGAAACAGTTACAAACAAATTAAACAATTAAAATATCAAAAAAAAAATTCAGAAAATTGAACTTACTGACTGTGTTTTTGATACAGTGTTTCTGGCACAGAATATTGATATAAGTTATACACAGGCCGAGCTCGCGGAAGAACTTTCATGCTTTTCTTCCATGATACCTTTTTACCTGGTTCTGGATCAGATTTAGGTTTACGAGTATTCACATAAAATATACGAGGTATCACAAGACGTAATTGATGAAGCTCTCTATCAACTAATACCCATAAACGGTATAAACCAGGCTCGTTTGTTGATGATATCTAAGTAATTTAATTAATTATTTAAATTATTCAATATAGCTGTTAAATTTTAAATATAATTGCTAACAATAAAGAAAAAAAAAAAACAAAAATTTCTACCTGAATAATTTGCCATGGTGTCATAAATAACTTTCTTTGAGCTTGTCTCAAAAAACCGCCTAACGTGGATGTGTTAGTCTTTCTTATAACACCCCGATTTGAATTGTTATCAGAACATTTACTCTTTTTGTTCTTTTGATATTCGGCCCTTTGTTTAGCTTGATAAGCCCACTTCTGCTTATGAAATTCCAACCATTTTAGTCTTTCTTCCTTTGTTGTTCCCCTAGGTGGTGGCGAACCTAAAACTTCTTTCCAACTTTTATTTGCATTTTCTTCTTCATTTTCTTCTAAACGCTGACGTTTTCTTTTGTTAACGATCGGTAATGGCTGCTTAAATGTAGACGCATCTTTCGCGATATCTTCTACATCGCATGTATCGGATGATTCTAAACTGTCATCATTATTATCAGTGTCTTTATGTTTAGGTACTACGGTAAACATATCTGTAATCTTTTTTTGTGTATGTGTTGTACCCTTTTCTATTATTCTTTTGTGCAACCAGTCAGGATGTTTTACTCTAGGAACTGGATTGGCCAGCTACCAAAAAAAGTTATTCATTAGTTTAGCTGTATTTGAACATCAGAAAAGTTTATACATTTTACATTAAAAAAATAAGTACCCCTTGCATTGCTGCTGGAATTGTAATAATTTTTTGAATAGCATTTCCAAGTCTTTCAATGTAATAACTCCAATCTAAAATGCTGCGTATATCATCACTTTGTAAGCCAGGATCCTTTAACCATTTACGTAAATAGTACCTTTTTATTGTTGGTTCCGATTGAAATATTGCTAACGGTATTGCCCTAATATTAAAATAAGTTACACAATTCTATCATTATACAATTTACTTTGAAAGAAGCAAAATTTCATTTACCGTTCCGTTACTGGTGCACCTTGAGGTTTATTAGCAATGATGAATTTACATGCTAAGCCAGCATCTTTAACCATTTGATCACCTAAGAATTCAGCTAATCGTTTAGCAGTGGAGATGGATGTAGATTTTTGACTTCCATATTCCTCTAATTTCCGTGACATTGATTTATTTTCAGATATAAGATCGAATAATTCCGAGTCTGGCATATCTGCACACTAAAAATTTCTTTTTATTTATTTATTGATATATATCAAATTTAATAAAATTAACAATATTATATATTTACTTTGCTGTAAAGTATATCAAGCCAATAATCCGCATCTTTAGCTACTGATGCATAACATTCTTCTAATGTATTACCTTTCAAAAAAGATTCAAAAACGGAAGTTTGGAAAACTTTTATCAACTGAAGTTCACCTCTTCGTTTTACTTCAAAACCTTTCAACTCAGCTAAAGAACCATCAAAGTTAAAGACTGCATATCGTTTCTTTAACTTTTTTCCTTCTTCTTTTGCAGCTGGCAATATCATAGCTAAATAAGGACCATCTACTTCAAAAAATATAGAATTTTCGCTTCTAATTTCATATGTAAAATTTTCAGGATCAACAAGTTCGTGATATACATTATTAGTAAATTGATCCTATAAATAATATGAAAATAATATTACAAAACTTCAATGAACAAAAAGGATCATATCACACTTCCAATTTACCTTCACCATGAAATTAAGAACAGCATTTGGGTATGATATTGCAAGCTTTTTTTTATTTGGATGAGTTGTATGAACGACCACGTTATCAGGAAAAGATGCCGGCAAAATACACCAAATTCCATCTGTATCTAATTCCAAAGGACGTCCAACTTGTTCTATAATTTCTCTAGCTCTCATAATGATATGTGCCCCTGTGTAACATACTATACCACCCATTTCCATACTGAACCATCGAGATCTAATATACCAGTACCATGTTAGTTAATAATTCTAAATATGAAAAAAAAGAAAAGAAGAAAAATAAAATGTAACACACATACCCCCTTCTCATTACATATCCATAAAAAGAGTTTAAAATACATTTGTGGGCAAGTTGTAACGAATCATACAGTATTTCTCGACTTTTAGCAGATTTAATTTCAGCCGCGTCTCCTTTTGCTACAGCTGCTGCCACTTCTTGTTTCGCAACTTTAGTAAGCCCTTTATATTCATATCTCCTATCCCTAAATGCTCTCACAGTATCAACATAAAATGAATTCTCTTTTTGACAGACCGTTTGCGTTCTTTCTTCCATGCCGGTAATTTTAACTTTCTTGTAAGCTTTCTTACAGTATTCCGTGAGTCGTTTTTTCTCATATGATGCTTGTTCCTCTTTAGATAATTCATGAAATGCTCTGCGAGGACCGTCAGGGAATTGTGGTGGAAATTTTTCATTTTCAAGTTGTTGTTGCATCCGTTGATATTCACTTAAATTTGCAGTAACTGAAATCAAGTAGAAAAACATATTCGTATATAATATTGCATTTTGACAAATAATATTTACATATCATATTATCTTACAATAATCTCCTCTCCACATCCATTGCATATTTCTTTGACAAAGTGCTCCCGGCTTGTTATAATCGCACGCGGCACAAATAGTTTCATCAACCATCGCGGATGGTTGAAGTCGATTAGTTAAAATAATATTTGGGTACATGGCACCAACATCTAGGTGATAAATTATAGGATTTTCTAATCTTAATGGTTGATTTTTTAAATCGATCAATTTTACTGTAATTTCTTCAACCACTTCTTCAAAATTTGTTACCATTTCCATTGGTACTTTCTCTTCTACTTGTATAGCATGTTTTAAAGTATGTGTAACACCATTTATTAATTCATCTATTATACTTGGTACAATTTTAAAACGATAAGGAATATCAGCTCTGAAAACACCAGATTCTAAAGCTTCAACGTGTCCTCCTACATATGTTTCTTGGTCCAACAAGTGACCATTTTTTGTTAACTTGTTTAATTCCTGCTCCTGTTTATTAGGAAATATAATATTAGCATGGTAAGCTTGGACCATTAAGAGAGATTCACATAATGTACCAGTTCCCTTTCTAAGTATCTGTAAACAGTGAAATATAATTTATGTTGTCCTCATTACGACTTGTTTTATAACTTACTTCATCTGGCTCCATAGGAATAATAGTACACAGAGCAAATATAAAAGGATGAACATATTTGTAATAAAGATAATATGTAGCAACTGCATCTGAAACTGAATAGTTTGCAAGAGTCTCTGGCTCTTCAGATGCTAATCTACACATATCTTCAGGATCCAGTTCTACTGGATCATACCTTAGCTTTGCCTTTGCTACAGCCTTCAAATTTTGGGAGCCTACAGGAAGGTAAGAATCGCGTCTTACCCAACTACAATAAGAACTATATGTTACAACTGATGTTTCATGTGATAATATAAATGTATTCAATTTTATAAATAGCAATACCATAAACAATCCATATGTGTAGCTGGTCTACTAGTATAAACTCCATCTCGATTTTTAGAAAATCCAATTCTATCTTTCATATCCATATTATGAAAAGCTGCTCTAGTTTCTACAAATGGCCAATCGAAAAAATCACCATTATACGTTACGAATATATGTGGTCGAATATCGTTTATATGATCGAAAAACTTTTTTATTGCGGCTTTTTCATTGGGTTCGTTAAAAACTGTAAAAAATCCTTCAAATTCCGGTTTTGGTGTATACTCAAAATCTTCGATGTCGGATGAAATTATTTCTCTGTTTGTTATTAAATATCCCTAAAATTGTTAATCAACTATATACTTTAAATAGTAAGCATTAAAATAAAATATTTTAATTAAAAAAAATATGCTAAGCATAGAATAGTACTTGTCCATCAATCATATATGATATCATCATAATTTGATCAGTATTAGCATCTGGAAATTTCAAAGGTAATTTTGTAGTTTCAATATCATATGCTAATACAATTGGATCAGGTGGTTCAACAATATCATCTCTTTTTGTAATAATTGGTACATCATTTCCTCTTGTTTTCACCGAGTACCAATTACCACAACAAATTTTCATATCTATAGAAGCACGTACATGATGTGGCACATCATATTCTCTGTACAAATATGTGCATACCATTAATGCATATATTAAAATTAGTAAATAATTGCAAATATGTTAGATTTTTACCTAATATCAATGATATTATCTGTAAAATTTATATTTTGCTTTTTATGATCTTCTGTGCCCTCATCTGAATTTAATACATTTGATAACATGTCTGTGTAATAAGTATGACTTTTTTCGCGTTCTTTGTTTAACTTTACAGCCTTCATAATATCACGCCTGACTTTGGTTAAATCCACAGTATTTATAAAGGTAAGTTTTAAATATTTTTGTTTTAAACCAATTAAATGATTTGGCTGAAAAAGAAATGAGATAAAGTTATTGCTTCTAACACTTCTTATATCTTTTCTTTAATTTCATTATACCAAATCAAGATCTTCTTTATAGACAGTCTCTATTTTTTGTATAAGTTCAGTATATTTTTTATTTAAGCCAGTAGATACTTCTTCATGTGTATTCTTTTTGCATAAAATATAAAAATATGGATTGTAGGGATAAGAGATCTTAAATCTATTACAGTCTTCTTCTAAAAAGTAATAATCTATACCACTTTGTAATCTTTTATCATCTTCTGTAATTTCTGTCTATAAAAACATAAAATATTATAAAAACCACAATTAAGGACAATATGAGAAGGCAATTGATAATTAGCTATTTTTTTTTCTTTTTTCATACTTACCATGTGCATATTGATAAGAAATCCAGTTCTTTCCTTTACATCAGTTACTCTGTGAAATCCATACAAACCATCTACTCTTATATTTTCATTAACTTGATTCAACCTACCACCTGAAGCCTCTCTAAAGAAATGTACGAAAATAAGTAAACATACAGCGATTTATAATAAATTTTAAATTATACTTAAGGTACCCTGATGGATTTCCTTCTCGATTTTGTTTGTTGTTTGCATATGTTCTAAATGGTCGAAATTTTCCTGTATTTTGTAAACTTGTCATTTTGTACGATAATTAATTATGTAAAATGTGATTTGTCTTATCTTTTTAGTTACTTAAAAATAATATATTCGGTACTTATATACAAAAAGCAGTTATTGCTAAACAAGCAATATTGTGGTACTCGAAAAATATATCCGTATGTAGGTTGTAATTTGCCCGCCAATAAATGTTATGCGTCTAATAAATATATGTATACTAAGAGTGCGAGGAAATTTAATATAATAAAAACACATAAAAAAGAATAAAGTTAAATAAATATAAAAATTGTATTTATTTGGAAATATGTGTAATATGTTTTATATTAATAATATTTTATATTAATAAATTCTTATATTCAATTACTACTAAAGCTGTAATATTAATAAATAAAAATCATATTTGAGGATTCAACTTTTTCATATCATTTATTTTCTTTTTTATCCTAAAAATATTAAATAAATTTTAAAATAACATAAAAGTTCATTTTTTTTCAATATTCTTTAGTTAGATTTATCCAATAAAATAATGCGTTAAGTCGGCATTACGAGAAATTTACTAGATGTATGATCTACAAACGCAAGGAAAAATCCCGAGGCTTATCGATTTGGAAAAAGGAACGAAATTGTAGGTGGCTCCACGACAGTAATGCGGTTCGACAACAATCGTTGTAGTTCATTAAATAAATTGGTTTCGCGGTTTTAGTGAATATATAAAACTGAAATAGATGAGAAAATTAGATACACAAGAGGCCTGGGGTGCCGAAAGGTTAGAAGCGCAATTAGAAGCCGCTCGAGATGGTCTTCGAGGACTCGATCGAAGTATCCGAAAGATCTTGGGCCGGGATCTCCCTGATGGAGAAAACGGCCCGCTACAACCACCACCCAGGTTAAATTCTAAATAATTTATTTTTAAATGTTTACGCTATCGAAGGAAAGTGTTGTATTATAAAACATACGTCTTCTATGATAGTTCACTGATCTTTAAATGAAACACTGTTGTCTACAAACATAACCTATTTCTCGTATACAAGCTACCATTTTATTAGATTACGCATGATATCATTGTATTTATTTATGTTATTGTTATAATATTATAACAAAGATGCAAATATTTGTTACTTATATAAATTTATATACGTAATATTATTAAAGAAAAAAAGGAGAGATTATACACATTTGTTGATGTATTCTTCTGTATTTATAATATCAATAGATTATCACAAAAGAGACCGTTGCAAGAGGATAGAAGACGTGTTGTATCAGATTTTGTCAACAATGAATTACCTGGTGGAAAAAGAAGATGGCAAGGTTCAAATGGGGAGCCAAAAACAGTTTTCAGTCGGTTAAGTGCACGTGTACCTTCTAATAATGACGATAGTGCTGATGAAGATGATAATGTGATTAAGGTAAAATTTTATAACAGTTTAATTATTCTCATCACTGTGTCATTCCAAATGTTATTATCAAAATCATTACCTCATTTTAGCCAGCAGTGTCTTCAAGAGTGATAGCAACTCCAAGAGAAATTCCATCTAGACAGGAAGTTATCAGACGTGAAAGAATAGATGAACGTAGCAGGCAAAGAAATAAACGAATGTTTGGAGCTCTTTTAGGTACATTACAAAAATTTCGACAAGAGGAAACTAAATTGAAAGCAAAGGTATATTTGTAACTGATATGGGAAATATATTATTATATCTTTCATAAAAATGACAATTTTTTGCAGGAAGATAAAAAGGCAGAAGTAGAGGCAAGAGTAGAAGAGGCCAGAAGGAGAGAAAAAGAAGAATTACGACGAGAAAGACAACAGTTATTCTTGTCGCGTAAACGACAGTTAGCTGAAGTTCGAGCGTTAGAAGCAAAATTGGCACGTAGCCGGCAATTTCAAGATTGGCGCGCTGCGCAATTACCACTTGCTTCGTTCATAAAAACGCGTGCTCAACCACCTATTTACTACGTACCAAAGCGTAAACATCCACAAACTGATATTTTGTTAACTCAGTCTGCAAAGGAACTTCATGGTGTGCACTTGAATAACGAGTCTCGTAATAAGCATAAGTTGTAGATAACAAAATTATAATATCTGTGTGTTTTATGTTACAGAGGAAATTGAAAGAAGGGAGAAAGCACTGATCGAAGAGCTTGAACTTATAGAAGTACAAGTAGGCCTTGCAAAACATCAACAAAATTTTGATGGATCCGTCGCGTTAAATACGACAACGGATGTTCCGCAGTCGACAGAAGAAGGAGAAGAAAATCGTGATCCGAATCCAGAGAAGAATTTAGAATCAGAGACTAACGAAGCAGTTGATGTTTCTGTGAAATCCGATAAGGACGAAAATTTCGAAAACACTAATGACATTGAAAAGCAGGAAGAAGTAAAAGTAGACGAAGTAAAGGATGAAAATAATGGCTAGTATTAAATGTACTTACAATGCTTGTACATATTACGTACATTGAATGGTCCAACGAAGAAAAAAAATGTTTTTCTTACACGATACTTTACGCGTGTGAATGAATTTTACAATTTTCAAAAAAAAAAAGATTTCACTTTTTACTTGTTATCATATAGATACAAATTCATTCCCTTCATCAAATTACGTACTCATTTTTTCATCATACGTCAAATGGCGGGAAAATGTTATTCAGATTTCTGTTAAACGCAAGAAGAAACAATATGAACAAGAGTAGTTGCATTTCATTGAAATCCCATATTTTTTAAATGTTATATATTTGTATCATGGCTGTTGTAGCATATTATTTAAGTAACTACCATCTTGTAAGTAGAACAAGAGAAAAACGTGGTGGAGAAATAGGTATATCGATAAATTGCCGTAAATTGTCTCAATACAGTTTTAGATTGGAGGTGTTATGTAAAATAGTCCACTTATTTTCTTTGTATCGGTATCTATCTTTTAATACATATACGAAGAAGAGGAGCATTAAATAAACGATTTAATGCTCTACCTGTATGGTAGAATAAAATATAAATTCCAACCTAGAGCATATCTCCTGGTGACATAGCATAGTTCAAACTCTTATGCAAATTTGTATATCTGTGTTTTTTTAATCGTACATGACATAAGTAAATTGGACATTAATTAATACGGATATTAAAAGCGGGTAACTTTTCTCCGTAGCAATATTAATAGATACTTGTTACATAAAATCAATTCGATTTCACCGTCTTGATAAAAATAATTTTTGTTCCGACTCTTCATCAAATAAGAAATAAAGAAATTTTTAAATTAACCAATTTTTAAATAAAAAGGAAACACCCTTCTACGTGCATGTTTGTTTCATTTTTATTTAATTTTGAATCCGTACTGAAAATGTTAATAACTATACAAAGAGACTGAACTATCAAGGAGAATATTAATAAGTTTATGTAACTTGAAATTCTACACCGTCAAAATTCGTTTGATTTGGATACATAGTATCGAGGAGAAATAGCCATCTTTCAAGTATTTCTGTTGCATTCTTCTGACAATTTTGGTACGCATACGGAGTACATTTCCTTACTGTAGCCGTAAATACTGCGCAGGTTATTCCGCGCAGGCTGCGATGATTACCGAAAGTCGGATTAGGTTAGTTATTTTCAAAGCGCGAGTAAAACATCGAACAAAGGTTATTATTATTTTTTTCTCTTTTTTTACATTTAAATGTAGTCGCCTGTCACTGAATTAAAGTTTGATATCTTTGGAGGTTTCAGTGGCAAAGCATTCGGCAATGAGAAAAGGAACAGCCAGAAAGAAGCGAGATTAAGCGTTGTAATTCGTTAACTAATTTACACCCAGTACACGGTTCCGAATCTTTGCCGGCGAATTCTACGGGACTTTCTATCTTTCCTGTGATATTCAAAGGTAGGAGGGGATGGCATGAAAGGGGCGTTCCGCCATGCAACCTCGGAATATGGCTAATGCGTCTCTGTGCCGTCGTTTTCCTCTTTCTCTCTCTTCCCTTCGGACTTTGGTAAAATAACTCCTCGGGATGGTAAGCAGTAAGTCTTTACAGAATCTTCGCCAAAATACTGAACATTAAACACCTACGAGTAACGTCGGGTACAACTAAAATTACACCGTGATACAAATAAATATCGTCACTGGTTCATCGGTTGCGGCGATAACTTAACCTTATTTTCTGCGTTACCGATGACATCCCAAAAATCTTCGTAGTCTTGCAATTATAATTAATCGAGTTGCCACCTACAACGATATGCATCTCATTAAAATTGGAATGTCAAGTTCATCAAGTAATAAGAGAATTCTTTTTTTACTAGATAAAGCACCGTCGGTGTTCCACCATTTTACCACGTGACAAATAGTTGTCTAGAAAAACCGCTTTGAAGAGCAGCGAGGTAAATGTACGACGTTTTCCCGCGCATTATCCAACCTTCGTCCACGGAAGTGAAAAAAGGAAACAGATTAAAAGTAGGAGCGGCGACGCTCGACATCGGATAGCGCAGAAGCATGAAGCGTGCGACGCGACGCGTCGCGGAGACATGAGAGAAGCCGACAGGGGCTAGGGGTCTGCGAGCTATTTGTACACCGAATGGAAAACGCGCCGCGACTCGCCTCCAGACGAAAGGAACACGATGGACCAGGGGAACGGGACGTTTTCTTAATTACCACGTTCCACCCCACGCGGTTCCCTTTTTCCTATTTGCTATCGTGAAAAAGACACCATTGTCGGGATCACGGGAATACAGGAAGACAGGCTCGAAGCGTGGGTGAATGACCACGAGTATCCGAAAGATATCTTCCTTTTCACTGGTAAATTTAAACTCCAGTTTAATAAATGTCAACCCTTTCACGAGTTAGCAACCTCGAGACGATTTTCCATTTAACTCACTAGCGCCACCACGGCTCGTATCTGCGATAAATGTTTCTTCTTAACTTTACCGATATAATCTGGGAATTTTCTTCTTATCACGTGTGTCATATTGTTCCCGTTGTATTATTTTCTCAAATTTTTCACCCGTGCATGTACGACCGTACTCGTGGAAGGATTAAAATACATTTAAGTGCGAACATTCGAAAATGTCAGAAACACGGTCTTCCTTCCTTGGTTTCACGTTTCTCAAAGTGCGGGGAAGGTTATTCCATCACTCTAGTTACTTCAGCTCGTTCTTAGGAAATCGTGCGGCTCGACGTTGACGCTGCACCTTTCCAGGCGCTCGAAATCTCGGCCCATTAATCGTGGCCGTGCTCTTCTAATACATTCTATTCTATTCTAAGCGAGGCAGATACGCGCCGGCCCGTTCCCTCGCGGAGGGTTTATTTACCCGTTAATTTATTAGCGTATCTTCGTCATGGCGTAACTCGTAATCGAGCGCGACGGAGTTTGCGAGCACGGCGTGCCGCGGGAGCAAACGCTCGCTACCAGAAGTCGCCGTATTTCAGACGGGGAAGGGGTTGCAACGGAGGACTCCGGCCGAGAACACCTTTATCTCGCGCCTGAATCTTCACCTTTGCCGAAAAACCCTGACGTGTATTTGCCGTGAGAATTTATACGTCTATTCACGGCCAATGTCCGTCCACTCCTCCGATATTAGAACCTGTATGCATTTGACATAAGCTTGCGCATTCTAGATGAACTACTCTGTCCTGGACTACTCTAATCTCATCTTGATCAACGGCTAATCTACGAGGCTTCCATTTAACATCATTCCACCCAACATGCATCCATCGGAGACATCCTGCAACTCTCGACCGTCTATTCTCTCAGAGGACCAGTCTATGGAGGACTCTTGAGGAAGAAGGAACCACGAGAAAGGTCACGAAGGATCCCCCTTTCCATTTTCGCGGTTAATAAGAGCGGCGCGCCGTTAATGAGAACATGGAAAGCTGACACTGAACGACTTCCAAAGAAGCGGTTCCCGTGGGCAGGTTTTGTCGCTCCTTTGACTAGAGGAGTAATAGAGTATCGGGGCGGAGTATCTCACCGCAGAATAGGAAGGGGATATTCGTATTTCAAAGGGACAGACCGTCGGTGCCGCGGCGGTGCTCATTATGTCGAACTCGCCTAAACGTTACCAGAAAAAAACAGGGTTACAGCGTGTACGACGACAGCAGAGGTGACGAGTCAGCTAGCCTTTACGCGGTGGAGTCTAGTAAATGTCACCTATCAGGTGTCACGCGTTTAAGGCCACTCGGTTATCGTTTCTCTGTCAGCAATGGCGGCCGTAGGCTCGAGGAAACCCTTCATTTCTCGTTCCCTCGCAAGGAATAGGACTTTTAAGGAATTTAAAGGACAATTTCGAGGATCCTGCACAAATGGCGGCTCGGCAGAGATTTATGTCACTTTCCATTGGGAAAAACCATCATTGGTTATTTTGGCCGAGACTCGTGAAGCTGGAAACGCCGAGTGGGTGTCTAATTTCGACGAAGAGGAGGGATTTCACGCTCGATCAACGCTGATTGGACAGCGCCGGCCCGTTTGCTTTTATAACTCGGTGCTTTCATGAACGTGCGCGCGCGCAACAGGGTACACGCACAAAAGGCAATGCCGCGCGAATAATTTATCTGGCTGCTTATCGTGCAACGAAAGTTAGGGAATTTATAATTAGCGCGGAAAATACACGTAGCGTTTGTTATCCAGTAACCGTCGCCAACCACTGTTTTTCTCAAAAAATCCGCTTTCCCTCGACGGTGGTTGCCCACGCGAGCGGAATTACGCAAGAATTATTTAGCGAGTCCAGGCTCGGCTAACGCCCGAGGGAACCAACGTCGAGGCTTCTGCGAAGAACATTGTTTCTGTGAAAAACAAGAGAGGAAACGATTAATTTAGTTGTAGGCTTGTACACATTAAGAACGATATCGCAGCTCATTAAACATTGCACGCGTATTATCTTCGGTTACAGAGAAACGCTGCTGATTATTCGGAATGGAAGCATCAATCACAAAGCAACTCACGTTATCGAGAGTTACGCGCGAATCGATCCATGTACTGTGCGTATATTACAAGACCGTTAACAGAATACGTGAAAGCCTAAACGCGATAGACAATAATTCCATCCGACACTGTACCAGCAAACAGATTTTATGACCGTGCGATTCTTTCAGACACGCGTTCGTTCGATAGTCGAGCTAACAAACAATCGACTCAACGAAATTAACTCGTTATTTAACGTTGCGATACTTTCGTCAATGTCTCCTTTTAAGTAAGCTTAAATTTCAATTTCCATTTCAATATCAATACGGATATTTCAATTTTATATTCGCATCCAAGCAGTTCCAGTGTTTCGAATACGGGTACTTATACTCGTCTAAACTAGGCAGGTTTTTAATTCCTTCCCTTTTTTGCGATGTTTCTTGAGCATTGCGCGAGCTTCCTCTAGCGCCGATCAAACTGAATACGTACCCTGTGTTACGATCGATCAGAAACTCGCGATTACACGAGCATACGGATAACTAAATCCCGATGATTCCGCTGGTTTTTCTTTCCTTATGGATCTCTGCTCGTCGAATTGAACGAATTTTTACTCTAAATGCTGTCAATCGTGTTCGTGTTTATTTCTAATTAACAACGATCATCATCGTTGCAACCGTCGATGTATCGCAATCAAAAGTCATCAATGGCGTTAAAGAACGGATTTTTATTCTAAATACTGTCATATCGTGTTCTCCGTGCCTATTTCTAATTAACAACGATCATCATCGTTGCAACCGTCGATGTATCGCAATCAAAAGTCATCAATGGCGTTAAAGAACGGATTTTTATTCTAAATACTGTCATATCGTGTTCTCCGTGCCTATTTCTAATTAACAACGATCACCATCGTTGCAACCGTGCATGTATCGCAATCAAAAGTCAACAATTGCGTTAAAGAACGGATTTTTATTCTAAATATTGTCATATCGTGTTCTCCGTGCCTATTTCTAATTAACAACGATCATCATCGTTGCAATCGGCCATGTATCGCAATCAAAAGTCACCAATGGCGTTAAAGAACGGATTTTTATTCTAAATACTGTCATATCGTGTTCTCAGTGCCTATTTCTAATTAACAACGATCATCATCGTTGCAAGAACGGATCTTTATTCTAAATACTGTCATATCGTGTTCTCCGTGCCTATTTCTAATTAACAACGATCATCATCGTTGCAATCGTCCATGTATCGCAATCAAAAGTCACCAATGGCGTTAAAGAACGGATTTGTTCAATCTTTATTTCAATTTCTATTTCTACTCGAAGGAATAATTCACCTGGCGTCGTTTGTATCATTTACAGGTAATCGAATATTCGAAAGGCGTGCCAAAAAGGTGCGGAATTGTAGTAAATCTGAAGCACCGTTGTATTCTTGATCTCTTCAGCGTGCCAACTGAGCCGTAAGCTAGGAAGTAGATTAATGTCGGCCGCGAAAAAGTTTCGGTTAATTATAGTGATGCCGCCGCGCAAAGAAGAGACAGTTTGTCCGAGATGCGTCGTTATCAGCGATCTTTTCGCCGTCTTAGATTAATTACCAGCTCATCTTCTACTAAACTGTTCTCCGTGCATTTTGCACCAGCTTAGTGAAATTACCCGGTGCCTCTTGGTACCTTCGTCACCTACCTGTCACTTACCATTTTCGGGCTGTCATCCTCGACATCGCAGGATCTTGATAGTACAACGAGAGGAGTAGAAACAACTGCCGGTTTAACTTGAAGGAAAATATATATTTCCCAATGACAAAAGTTGCATTCCATAAAAAAGCATGGCAGAGGACTATAGTTGCACGATCGCGGTCACGATCGCGCAGATTGATCCGTTAAATAATATCGATAACGTCCCGGGACAACTCGTCACGGGACCCCATTAACGTTGGCCAGGGCTTAGACGGTTCTTCCTTAACGATTATACCATTAAATCTACGCAAAGATCGAACAAACGTACAAAAACAACGGGCTAAAGGACTAAACGAATATTCGCAGTTCGCAGGAGTAACAGGTGCAAATTTTTCTCGTTAAAGTTCCGTGGTATCTCACAGTCCGTTACAAATATAACAAACATACAATCGCTTTCCGTTATGGCACTCGAAAAAAGGCACTCTTGGCAAATGACGATAAAAATACATAATACTGGTGGAGATGATATACCGTTTTCGCCTTGCGCCAACTGCACACGTATTTATTCATATCCTCCTCGTCTTGTGTCTCGTCCTTGCTCTCACAGTCACTCGTAACTCCGATCTTCCTCCTTGATCACACGTCGCTTACGTATTAATCGTTACATAGTATACCCTTACCCTAATCGCGTGCATCCACTAGGTAAACCACGACCAGCAGTCTTTTCACTCGCGTTTCGTTCGATCAACAACACCCTATTAATCGCGTGCAATTCAATTACAGGGACTTGCCGGCTGACTGTTCGTTGCCGAGGATTGCATCATGATGGACTGCACAGTGAGGACAGGCGACGTGGTCGCCACGGGGGTCACGCTGTCCGAATGGTGATGATGATGATGGTGGTACAGAGCCGACGCGTAATACTGCTGATGGTGGTGATGATGGTGGTGCGGATGATGGTAACCGCTGGTCTCCTCGTTGTTGTTGTTGCTGGCAGCGTTGTCGTTGCTCTGGTGATGATGATGGTGACCGTGGTGGTGATTATTGTTGACAGTGGCGCAGAGGGGCGAGGTCGGCGACGGGGACGACTGGGGATTCGTGAGGTTGCAACCGGAGGCGAGGATGTCGTGGACCGTGTGAGGGCTAGGCCACTGTAAGCCAGCGGAAGCGGACGTCTGATGGCCGACACCGGCGTGAATCGTGGTCGGAGAGGACGGCGACAGCTTGCCCGGCGTCGTCGGCCCAACTGGAAACGCACCGGTACCAAATTGGTAGGGAGAGGATCGTTCGAATTCGATTATTCAGCGCTCGTATCAGGATGGAAGAAAGAGACGCGACTGTTGCCTGATATCCCGCGAGCTCGCTGCTAAAACTGAACGCGCAAGTTGCGCTGATGGAGAACAAATTTTTCTTTTTAGACGGGCTCTCCGCCGTTCTGAGACACGAGCAGAGAGTAGAGGAGGTGCACGTCTACTGTTCTTCCACCAATGCGTCACGTACCGGGCTCGGTAGGTTGGCGTTTCGAGCGAGAACTTCGCTTTACTTACGCTAGGTACAGAGATCTAGGAGTCTAGCAGTGGAACGGTAAAGGAGTTTCGAATACCGTCGCATTCACGATCAAAATTACGTTCTCCTGTCACGGTACTCTGGAACGATAGTCTCTGAAACGAAGGAAATCTCACCGACCATTCGTGATGTCGAACGCTGACGGAGAACGCGGTCGAAGGCCGCGGAAAGTTCTCGCTCGAAGAAGAAGAAGAACAAGACGCGGGATCGTGGAAGCTACCAACCTTGATGATGATGATGATGGTGATGATGCGTTACAGCGGGCGGCGGCGTGGCGTGATAGGGCGTCGGCGGATACGGGACAGGACAGAGCGCGGCTCCAGCCGCGGCCGCGGCCGCGTACAAATGATGATGATGGTGATGATGCGCCGGATGATGGGGATGATGATGAATCGCGGTTGCAGCGCCGACCTTGTTCCTCAGTATCCTCGAGATGCTGCTCACCGATGGCACATTGTACTTGTCGCACACGCCGTCAGACAGCAAGCGGTCTCTGATCTCCCAAGCGAAGATCCCCGGATCCTTGAGCTTCAGTTGCTTGATGTACTGCACCACTTTCGGGGTGGTCACCCGGGGTTTACTGCCACCGATCGCGCCAGGCAGTATGCTGCCTGTCTCGTGGTACCGGGCCAAGATCTTGCTGACACAACCATGGCTGACCCGCAGCTGCCGCGAGATGTCGCACGGCCTGATGCCCAGCTGTGCAAGCTCCACTATTCGCAACCTGACCGCGTTCGGCAAAGGTCGACCGTTCACGAACACACCACCCAATTGGTTCACTTCGCCGTACTGTTGCTGCTGCTGTTGCTGATGGGGTTGCTGCTGCTGCTGCTGCTGCTGATCTGCAGCACCGAGTTCGCTCGCGTTACTCTCTGTCCGTGAAGAATGGCGAAGGATGGATTAGGCTTTGGTATTAGCGTTAGCCGAAGAGTTAGCCGAGGAACCAGTCGAGGAAGAAAAATCGAGCGGCCCCGCTTTGAACCCGGTTTTTTCCCTCTTTTTTTCACACACGGTAGTCGATCACGGGGTACCTAACTCCCCGGGGTCCATAAAAATCTTAATAAATTTCCGTCGCACTCGGCCCTCCATTTCGGACACGTGACACCGCGTTGCCCGTGGTTCGGCGATAAAAGCAACGAGATATTGATTTATAAAATTCCCGCGGGTTCGAGGTTGGAACGCGAAACGAACGGGCAATCTCGCGTCGATCCGAGCCACGGCTGCTGTATAACGCGACGATAATATACTTCGCGTAGGGACTTACACCTGGCGCTAGGGTTCGCTTTAATGAGATGCAGATGTATGTCGTTGGCTCGCTGTTGCCCGGCCGAGTTTGTCCGTAACAACCCTTAATTAGCGAAGCAATGCCCTAGCAATTGCCTCTAACTGCGTTCCAAAGCCACCTAAATTCCGTAAGCAAAGACAACAACCCGTTACGAGAATAATAAGAGGGCTATCTTTAACCCGGGTGCAGTGCTCGCGTGTTCCAGCGCCTCGCGGCAAGCGCGTTAATTTTCCATTGTCGGGGAAACCGAGGAAGTTGCGGACAACGTTCGAAATAGAACGGGAGGATTCGATACAAAATTTACGATCCTCCTAGAGACAGACGTTCCTCCGAATACCACTGTCTTCCATCCTGCGAGACGGATGACTCGCGTGCAAAAAGCCTTAATGCGTTAACATCTCGCAGGTTCTTTGATGTCGAGGAAGAATCGAGGCCTGTCTGTTCCTTTTGTACCTATTCGAAGAGGCACGGAGTGGAAATAGAGAGGTGAACGGATATCCGCGAAGGAAGTGCGAAGTCGTATCCGAGGAACGCGCGAGGACTTTCCTGGCCGAGAAAGGGGGGAAATTTATGTGGCCCTCCCCTTTCTCCCTTCGGTTACGTCTTACTGCTTTCCACTCCCTTCCCGTCGTCCCTCTGTTCTACGCCCCGGGCCGACGTACGCGTTACGCAGAAGAGGAATAAATAAGAAAACCGCGGCGGAAAGGAGGGCCCTACGAGGCCTCCGTGATTCCTGGAAGAAGAGTTTCGTCGGCGACGCCGCCGAGCGTAGAGACGCGTTTTTGCGCAGGCCAGCGGCCACCATTTTTTTCTCCGTCCCCTTTTCCGACATCCCCTCGATCTCCCCGTAATGGCGGCTTCTTGGCAGAGGCGCGAAACACGCGCCCTTTCCGCCACATTTCAGCCATCAACGGTATACATCGACGGTGCGCGAGCAAAGTCCTCTTTGAACTCGAAATAATTCCTCCATCTCTGCTTTTTCCCCGCCGCGGTTCCTTTCTCCACGGTCTCAAAATCAAAATGGCTTCCACTAGAGGAATCGGTATACCGGATATTCTTAGATTCTTCGTTGTTCCTCCTGTAAACGCGTATTTGTACGATCGTCATCGAGCTGTCCACGGTTGACCGGTTTGAGAAATGATTGCTGCGAGGCTGAAGGCGGTAATCCGAAAATGGCGCGGGTGAACGAGAGGTTTGGTTTTTAATCGAAAGACAAACGACGAGGCGGTTTCCCGAGAATCACCCCGGTAAAAGGAACGGGTTTTTCAGCGGATCGCCGATTCGTGGAACGACCCCGACGTGGCCCGTTAAACTCCAACGATTTGGACTTAATGACCCGCGTTACATTAAAGCCCCGTCTTTTTGCCGGCGAACCGTTCGATCGCGAGGGAGTAGCGCGCGCTCGTTAAACGGAAGACAAGCCCCGTGGTTTATGCGCGCCTCTTGGTCGGCTCTCTTATATAGGTGAGTAATTAATGAGGGGATAAACCGCTCGCCTGATAGATTTATAATTACAACGAATATCCTGGCTTTCCAGTGGCATTTGTCTCGCGCGTTACTCCCGCGAAACTGTCCTCACCTCGTGAATCGAAGTAACACGCGTAATAGAATCGTAGAAATTCGCGTCGGGGTTACAAAGCGCTTCAAAGGGGAGATTTGTGGTTGCGAAACGTAGTAGGCCGCTTTGAACAATTATTATCTCTGTGCTTCTCCGCTCTGTGTGCAGGTGTTGCCGCACTTCGCGTCCAACCGAGTGGCCCTTTTTACGACGTATCCCAGAGCAAATATTTTTCCTGTCCCCTGGACATTAATCTTCGGGGCCTTAAAGGACCCGGAGCTCCGGTAACCCAATAAGGGTCGGCGATAAATTCTCGGCGATATAGCCTTCTCTGTAAATCGGCCGACGTATAAACTCGTCCGATAACAGCAACGAAAACACGTCGATGAAAGGAGTGGAATAGAAATCGGATAAGACGAAGCACGGCAAGGATGTCAGGAAGATCCTCCTCCCGGTGCGTAGCACGTGTGCGCGTGCACTGTGTGCAGCCTGGCCCGCGATGGATACGTGTATTACACGCGTGTAAACTGACTACACGCGTCGGGCCCTTTGATCTCGGTCATTCATCACCGCGGAGCGGAGAAAAAGTCTAATAATATTGCTCGCACCGCGACGTTCACGCGCGTGTGCGCGCGTGAAATGGCCAGATCGCCGGTTCCACGCGACGATTCGCAGACGTATGCGTCCACTCGATCTTCCGGCCACGATTTATTCCTCCTCGATCCGCGGGATCCGAGAAATTCGAGCGATTCCTCGCGCGGACGCGGAGCGGCCCGAGGGGGGCGCGGGGGGCAAGGAACGGCGCGCGAATTTCGGGCGAAACAACGGGTGCTTTATCGTCCCGTTGGTGAACAGACGAATTTACCACAATCGCGGGTTATGCTAGGCAAACGATGGACGTCGACGTCACGCTGCTGATCGAGATTGATAGCACGTGTCTAGCCGGTAATTGATAACGTCCAACCGTGACACGGCATTCCGTGGCTGCTGCGAGTGTTTGGCAGGCTGAATGGTCGATTCATCCGAATCGTCTTTGGCGAAAGGTACTACATTGTGCTAACATAATCGTCATACGCGAAACACGCAATCCCCGGGTATCTATACTATCTGTTCGCTGTCATGCTTCATTCCGCGCAGGAATCCGTAGAGCAGAGTTATTCGAGTAAACGATCCCCGGATTGCATCTCGAGGGACGCACGTGTATTTCCGCGCAGGAATTAAGAAGAGGACGATAAAAAGCGCGGAGCCGTGGCAGAGGGTAGGGGGATCGGCTAATTTGGTGGCTGGAAATTTGCGAAAACGATACCGGGGCAGGCGGAACAAATTGTCGCGGATAAAAGGACGAGCAAAAATCGGCCGGGTATAAGTAGAAAAGTTGAACGGCGAACGCGCGAGTCCGTGATGTGGGCGTGCACCGGACGAGTGATGGATGTCAGTGTCACCCTCGAAAACACGTGTTCCGCTTACATAGATGCCCGAAACGCGACCAGTGTTTGTCTACCATTCTCACTCGCTAATTATCGACCCCTCTGCTGCTCCCCTTTGTCGGCCACCGCTCCTCTTTTATAGAAACGGGGTCTTCGTTTAATTTCCGCGCGGGCCAGGCCAAGCACATGTCACTGATTAGCCTGTCCCGAAGCGGTGTCGGGGATTAAAGCTTCTTAATTTTCCAGCGGGGGGGACAAGTTGAAACGATCTGCACGAAATTCTGGCTCGAAACGCGGGCTCGCTGTTGCTTTCGTTAATTAAATCAGCGAAAGGGTGGTTAACGAGATGGAGTCGCGCAGGCAGTTAGGATCCGCGAGAACGTTCCACGGAATGGAGGATATTTTGAAAGGTCGTGAATCTTGGTATTTAGACGGAATACTTAGCGCTAGACTGGACCGATGCACGAGCATAGATTTATAACACGTGTATCTGCAGGTTGAAAATAGTTCTGTCATGTTTCATCATTATTTCCAGGGGCCTCATAACCTGGGCACCGGCCAAATCTCCCTGTCAAAGCGAAAAGATTCTCGATAATTCGAACCGCCGTTCGCGGCTAGGCTGAAAACCACCAGTCCCCGATCGAATCCGGTTATCGCGTTTGATCCGAGAATGGAGATGATATTGAGATGCAAGTGTGGTCGTAAATTATTCCGCGTTATCTCGCGTTAATTTTACACTGCGGATTTATTTTTCGCCGGCCGTGGAACAAAAACTCGTCGGACCCCGGCACCCGAAGAACGAATATAACATTTTTTCATTGATTAGCGGATGGTCTATTTATAAGCGTGAAATTTATGCAATTCCTTGCAAGAAGGAAATTAATTATACGCTAATCGCGGTACATTTTTCACGATAACCGTCTGACCTCGTCGAACATAGTTTCATCATAGCTACGCGGATTTCCAGACGCGTCTCTGTCGAGCGAACGAGTTGCAATGATTTTCAATCACGTTCGCCGATCCCTCCGTTACTAAAACGATTAATTTCCTATACGAACCGTCCCACGATTTCGTCGGGCCCACGCTTCTTTCGAAAGTCACTTCACGCCGCGGTTTACGCTCCTCGTAAACGTCCACCCACCGACCTCCTCCGAACTTAGCGCCTGGTTTTCAACCACGGTTGTCAACTCTGGGTCGGTCCATCCCGTTTGATTATTTAACTCCGAGACATTCGAAACGGGATCTTTTAATCGCGAGTTAAACCGTCATCCTAAAGTGTCTCGTCTTTTCAACCAGTTACTTATTTACTCGAGAACCGTTTAGCAAGTCGGATTGCAAGGTTTCCCGCGCGATTCTTACCCGTTTTCCCTTTCCTCCGGAACAGAGAGAGAGAAAGAGAGAGAGAGAGAGAGAGAGCGTACCTTTCTTCGTGCAACCTAAAATACACCCGTGCAAAATTTATCTCGCACACGCGTGTGCGTGAGCTCGGCTCACATCTGGAATACGCGATGACAGTGGGACCGAAATATATTCGATCGACGAACAAAAAAAGGGCTCCGGCGAAAGTTACGTTCCCTTTTTTCCCCTATATCCCTTAGACGT